GAACGTGAACACAACGTGAACGAGGTCGGGAATCCTGGCTAACCCCACTACTTCGAACGATGAGTTGGCCGGCTGAAGTTCCCGTGTCGCCACACTTTGGATTTCGTCGGGAAATATCTTAAATACATCGCATATGAAATATTTACGCAAAGGAACGTCACATACCTCTTTCAAAAGTAGATACCAATGCTTGCAAGGGTCAAGTGTGGCACTTGTAATCCTGCAAAGACTCTGCGTGGTTAAGTTAGCCGGTGGAAAGCCGCACGTCGAAAATCCGACTGCCTCTATGACTTCATTTCGAATGGTTTCGAAATCGAAAACATGATGCTTTTCGACATTTCGACATGAAAAATCTCGTCGAGGTTTAATATTATAATATTGGTAAGAATTTAACCAGGATACGAGGCCAAGTCGTGCGACCGCCACAGGTTTTGTACCAAAACAATAACATCGTGTACTACGATCGCAAAGCGTGAACACTGATCGATCCACCAAGTGACGCAATACTGGAAATTCGATACGGTTGTTATTCAGGTCGTACGGCACATGAAAATTGCGATATCTTTTGTTACTGTTTTATGGCAAACCAAGCGAAAGAATCATACCTAAATAATCGAAAGAGAGGCTTTTCGAATACGGCGCCTCGCCGGTATTGCCTCTTCTGTGAAAAGGAAGGATCTTTGAAAGACTACGTGATTAAAAATGTCGTTATAAGGAAACAGGCAGAAACAGAGAAAACGCAGTATTTTATGACCATTACGCGCACAACAAACTTCATTTCATTTCATGATTTTGATTTTCATCGCCAACAGATGACCCCGCGTTAACTCGCACGCAATCGCGTATCTCTCGTGGATTCGTGGGCGCTAATCTGTATAATTACATTGTGGTGTAATTAATGTGATGACATCCACCCAACGCCTTCTTCCCCAAACCTCGGCATCAGTTTACGATGCCTGCTGAGAATTTTTTTCTTGAGCAAAGCTCGTCATGTGTTCGGGATTGCCGTAAACGCGGTTCTAAATCTAACCATCATATTATGTAGAAGGAAAGAAACGGACAACTCTTGCGTGCCAGTTCGTGTCTTTTATATTTCTACAATACATACCTGATAGTGAAGCGTTCGAAAAACGTCTTCAAATGCACTCCTGATGAATGTTAGTCCATATTTTTGTAGAAAAAATAAAGAATGTTTTCCAGTAGTATACGTTTATTTTATCAGCGCAAGACAAAGCTAAGAATTGCATACGTAAAGAAACATTTTTAGGTGCAAAGTGAATCGCGTGTAACGTGGTCTAGACCCGTTGATTGAAAAGTCTCCAAAATTTCTTTATCTTTAGACAATTCTAGACACAGACTTTCACAAGGCATTACTTTCTGGGTAAATTTCTCGTTACACAATTGTCTAGAATAAGTCTAGTTTTTGTCTAGAGATGTCTAGCTGTCAAAAAGTCTAGAAAAGTCTAGCATTTTAGCTCACAGGACAGATCTACGCAAGACCTTTCTTTGAAAAAAGCCGCCAGATCTACGCTAGACTTTTTATTAGATCTAATCAAGACATTTTCTAGATCTAACCGTTTGGTACGGGTGATCACTTCTGAGATATATACTTATTTGTCATATTTCTAGATTAATGCTGCATTCAGCATAATGCCTGAAGGCTTCTGGGATACATAGCAAACTTAGTTTCTCAGTCATGGTTAATAGAGGGAAATTTTTTCTTTCCTTTCTGGTTCACCCGGGGTAAAGTATTGACATTCAGCATAATGCTTGAGCGCTTCTGGGATATACAACATCCTTAGCTTTTCATTCATGGTCAATATAGGAAAGTGTTGTCTATCTTTTCTGGTTCACCCAGGCTGAAGTCCTGGCATTCAGCATAGTGCCTGAGCGCTTCTGGGATATATAATATACTTAATATAGGGAAATGTTGTCTATCCTTTCTTGTTCACCCAGGCTGAAGTCTTTGCAGTTAGTGTAATGCTTTAGTGCTTCTGGGATAATTTCTTAGCTTTTTATTCATGGTCAATATAAGGAAGTGTTGTCTATCCTTTATGGTTCGCCCTGGCTGAAGTCCTGGCATTCAGTGCCTGAGCACTTCTGGGATAGACAACATACTGAGCTTTTCATTCATGATCACTATAGGGAAGTGCTGTCTGTCCTTACTGGTTCACCCAGGCTGAAGTCCTGGCAGTCAGCGTAATGCCTAAGTGCCTCTGGGATATATAACATACTTAGTTTCTAATTCATGGTTAATATAGGGAAGTGTTGTCTATCCTTTCTGGTTCACCCAGGCTGAAGTCCTGGCATTCAGAGTAATGTCTGAGCACTTCTGGGATCTATAACATACTTAGTTTTTCATTCATGGTTATATAGGGAAGTGTTGTCCATCGTCCCTGGTTCATCCCGGTTGAAGTCCTGGCATTCAGCATAATGTCTGAGCATTTCTGGGATAATTAACATACTTAGCTTTTCATTCATGAATAATAGAGGGAAGTGTTAACTTTTCTTTCCTTTCCGGTTCACCCAGGCTGAAGTCCTGGCATTCAGAGTAATAATGCCTGAGCGCTTCTGGGAAATATGACATACTTAGTTTTGCATTCATGGTTAATATAGGGAAGTGTTGTCCATCCTTTCTGGTTCACCCAGGCTGAAGTACTGACTTTCAGTGTAATGCCTGAGCGCTTCTGGGATATATAACATACTGAGCTTTTCATTCATG